GCGGCTGCCCGCCGGGGCTCAGCTCCTCCACAGCCACGCGGCACCGCAGCTCCGCGTCCTCGCATTCCGCGGCCGCCGCCAGGGAACCGGACAGCATCGCCACCGCCTCCGCCTCCGCAGGTCTGCAAAGGATCGGTGCACCGGAGTCGCGGGGACTCAAGGACACGACAGGGGGTACTGAGGCCGGTCAAGGGCACATAGGATCCTACCCCTCTCCGGTAACACAAAGAGGTCACAGTGATGGCAAAAGGACGCTGGGGCAATTTAGGAAATTCAATTAGAAATTACATCCTACACGATAATTTCCAGAGCGGCGGGTGGACAGCGTCAAATGCACCCGGATTTGGGTTTGGGGTGCCTCGGCTGTCCGGCAGGGGTCGCTGAAGAAGGGGGGCCCAGAACAGAACAGAAGACAGCTTCAGGGACCGAGGGGACGGCACGGGAATCTCACGTGGGGAGATGAGCGGCTGCCCGCCGGGGCTCAGCTCCTCCACAGCCACGCGGCACCGCAGCTCCGCGTCCTCGCATTCCGCGGCCGCCGCCAGGGAACCGGACAGCATCGCCACCGCCTCCGCCTCCGCAGGTCTGCAAAGGATCGGTGCACCGGAGTCGCGGGGACTCAAGGACACGACAGGGGGTATAGAGGCCGGTCAAGGGCACATAGGATCCTACCCCTCTCCGGTAACACAAAGAGGTCACAGTGATGGCAAAAGGACGCTGGGGCAATTTAGGAAATTCATTTAGAAATTACATCCTACACGATAATTTCCAGAGCGGCGGGTGGACAGCGTCAAATGCACCCGGATTTGGGTTTGGGGTGCCTCGGCTGTCCGGCAGGGGTCGCTGAAGAAGGGGGACCCTGAACAGAACAGAAGACAGCTTCAGGGACCGAGGGGACGGCACGGGAATCTCACGTGGGGAGATGAGCAAGGGCGCTGCTGCTCGTCATGTCAGCTGCTGCTACGTTCACTGGTGCATACGCAGCCGAGCAGGGATCCCTATTCCCCGTGGACAAAAGTGGGAACAGGCTGGGAGAGGCCACACGCCTGGTAGAAGTCGGGGTGGTGTGATCCGCAGCCCTGGCGCTTCCCATTTCCAAGGTGGGAAGGGGTAGCGTATCTGGCGAGGCTAGGGAAATCGCGGGGCGACCCTGGAATGTGTGTTCCCTCCGCCTGACCCTCTCGTGTGCACCCTCCCGGCAGGGACCCATTAAAGAAGCAGGTTCTCTTCCTCCCACCCCTGACATCGGATGGACACTCACTTGCGCCGGAACTCGGACGAGCTGGCTGGACCGAGCGGACCTGCCGGCGAAGCTCGGGCTCTATAACTTTCAAATGCTGGCCGTGGGGAATCATCCTATCACCGGCCGGATCTTTAAATTCTCCAGCCACTCAGAGGCAGGGGCGTGTCCTCACCCTCCGTCCCCTCCCTGGCCCGGGCCGTACCAATCGCACGCTGGAGGAAGGACGCTTATGGTGGCGGCGGAGCGTGGAGCATACCAAGTCGCGTGGACCGGTGGGCGTGGCGGGCGATGGCGGGGATGGGTTGGGGGGCTGCAGGAGCGCCGTAGGTGGTGTGATGTCACCCAACCCTGCTCTGAAGATTTATTTTCGGAACTACCCACCCGACACACTCCCCCTCCCTCTAGCCCTGACAGAGCGGCTGACCTTGGCGTTGGGGAGAGCTGCCACGGATCTCTCCCACCTCCGTTTCCACCCGCAGGATCATTGTCCACTCCGGGGCAGACCACCCCAAGGCCTGCCCCGCCTCTCAGCTCTTTCTAATCCTCTTCGCCTTTGTAAGGGTCCTTTCACTCATTGCCTTTCCCACCCAGCTGAGGCCCATCAGGGAGGAACTCTTGAGACCTGGGCGATGAAAGCGTGTGAGTTAGTCTCAGGGAATACTGTACTTATTCATCCTCTTGTTGCCCTGGAGGATGCTTGGGGAATTTATTTTTAATTACATCCCCCGTCCCCGCCCCTCCTCATTGAAGCTTGAAGCTTGGAATTACATAGCTGGGAGGGATCTTATAGGTGAGTACTGTCCCCTCCC